AGACCTGTTGTCCATGTTGGGATAGACCACACACACAGAGAAGGTGAATAGCTTGTAAGGATGCCACACACATACAGACAGACCAATGAAGTTAGTACATACCTGATGCACAGACAAAGGAAAGAGGTGTTCACTTTGGCTCCCGGATTTAGAGGGCTCAGTCCCAAGCTGCTTGGCCCCAAGTGCTTAGGCTGTCTATCATGGCTGTCTATCGAGGCCCAGAGGCAGGAAGCAGAGGGGAAGGCGTGAAAGGGCTGGGACCACGGTACCCCTGCAGATACACCCCTGGTGGCCTGCTTCCACCAGCTAAGCCAGACCTCCTGAAGTTTCCAGAGCTTCACAAAGGTAGTCCTAGAAAGATGGCTCAGCAGATTAAAAGCCCTGGATGCTCTTCCAGAGGACCCACGTTAAGTCCCCAGCACACACATAACTCACAGGGGTCTGTAACTCCAATTCTAGGGGATCAGCCACTGTGGACACACATACACATACCAACACCAGTCTACATATAAATAAAAATAAATCTTAAGAAAAAATACAGGCTGGGTGCAGTGGTGCGCACTTGTAATCCCAGCACTCAGGGAGGCAGAGGCCAGCCTGTCTACAAAACAAGTCCAGGACAGCCGAGACTATACAGAGAAAACGGCAGGGGGGTGGGGTACAGAAAGTTCTCCATCAGAATCCACAGCCTGGAAAGCAAGGGTTAGGACTCATCTGCCTTGTTTTCTTTTTCCCTTCTGTCTTTGGAGTGAGGTCACTGCAGATCATAGGCACCCAAAGGGACACTGTTCACACCCCCTGGAAAAAGAGTCCAGTGTGACTCTATGCATTGTTACTCCAATTCAAACCACGAGGTCTAACAGGGCGTCAGGAACCCACTCCAGCAGCTCAGTTGTCAGCAGAGTAGGACGTAGCTCCCAGCAGTCAGCACTCACCACAGCTGTTCGGCCACAGTGAACCCTCACCTCTCTTTGTCCCCTCAGGCAGAGAATGAGGATGGAGCACAAGAGAACACCTTCTCCATGGACCCACAGCTGGAACGGCAGGTGGAGACCATCCGCAACCTGGTGGACTCCTACGTGGCCATCATCAACAAGTCCATCCGAGACCTCATGCCAAAGACCATCATGCACCTCATGATCAACAACGTGAGTGGTGGGTCCATGTCACCCGGGATCCTTGCTGAAGCTCAAGGGCTGGGGACTCAGCCCCTGTCCAGAAGGTGGAGGCAGGAGGATCGGAGGAAGTTCACCATCATCCTCAGACACAGCCAGTGTAAGGGGAGACCCTGCCTCAAAAAACAAGACCGAGGCAGGCGAGGTGGCTCAGAGGGCTCAAATACAGTGCTCCTGTATGTGGTCCCTGAGACCCACCCCACCCCCACCCCCCGTCCTCTTCCATGCACACCATGACGCACACACACCTGTGCATAGCACAGTAATGTTAATTTTAAAACAAACCTTTTTGATTGTTTTGGGGGTTTTGGTTTTTGGTTTTTAATTGGTTTTTTTCAAGGCAGGGTTTATTTGTGTAGCCTTGGCTGTCCTAGAACTCACCCTGTGACCAGGCTGGCCTCAAACTCACAGTGATCTTCCTGCCTTCAGAGCCCTGGGAGTAAAGGTGTCTGCTGCCACCACTCAACTAAAACAAACTTAATTTTAAAAAGCCCTGTAAAGTCAGAACAAGTTGGTTTGTGTAGGTGGTTTTTTGTTTTGTTTTGTTGTTGGCTGGTGTTTGCAGTGTTAGGGATTGAACCAGGGCGTGGTGCATGTTACACAGGTGCTGGACTACTGAGCTGCAGGCCTCTACCCTCCAGTAGGGATTCCAGGCAAGGTTCTACAGATGAGCCTTGCTAGAGTGAGCAATGAGGGGCACGAGAGTGGCAGGGCCCAGCCCCTCACTGGGGGCTCCAGGCGGTGTTCTACAGCTGGGCTGTGTCCCTGCTTCTGATTGGGGATTGTCTTTAGGCGGGACTCTGGCTCCATTTCACCTTCCCTCAGCCTGTGTTTCATGCTTTTCTAAGCACATCAGTCAGGCTTCTGAGTTTCTGGCTACTGTAGGGTCTGACCTCTCCCACTGTTGTCCTCAGACAAAGGCCTTCATCCACCATGAGCTGCTGGCCTACCTGTACTCATCAGCGGACCAGAGCAGCCTCATGGAAGAGTCAGCTGAGCAGGCTCAGCGCCGGGACGATATGCTGCGCATGTACCATGCACTCAAGGAGGCGCTCAACATCATTGGGGACATCAGCACCAGCACTGTGTCCACGCCTGTGCCCCCGCCTGTTGATGACACGTGGCTCCAGAACACCAGCAGCCACAGGTCTGCAGGGCAGTTTGTCCTCCATATGCCCATACAAGCACCACCCTTCCTATTCCCTCAGTCCCACTGGGAGACGGGCCACAGAAGGGAGACGGGCCACAGAAGGCAAACAGCCCTCCAGAGCATAGAACCTAGGACTCTGTTGAATTGGGGAGAATGGGACAAAGACGTTTAAGCAGCCATAGTATGAGTGCCAAAGGGGCAGTCAAGGAAATGTCAGTGCAGGGGACCCACTGAGACTGCAGGACACTGTGGAGCCCTCAAGAGAAGGGCCAGAGCCCAGCCCTGGGAAGATTCAGGTCCCCAAGTCCAGTGGGGAACAGGGCAGGCAGGTCTATACCGGCAGAGGGTTACACAATGGGGCCAAGGCTAGGCTCTGGGAAGGTGCTGGGCTGTGCGTGCTTCAGTCTGCACACCTACCCTGTGTGCTCGCTGCAGGTGCACGGCAGCCCATCAACGTGGAGTTCTGTGTTTCACATTGCTGGGTTCCAAGCGCCGCTGCTCCCCCTCGCAGTCTTGCAGTGGGTGCTCACAGTATCCTTCCCCCAGATTACAGCCTTTCCTTCTTCCACAGCCCCACTCCACAGCGCCGACCTGTGTCCAGCGTGCACCCACCAGGCCGGCCGCCTGCAGTGCGGGGTCCCACCCCGGGGCCTCCCCTGATTCCTTTGCCTGTAGGGGCTGCAGCCTCCTTCTCGGCGCCCCCCATCCCATCCCGGCCGGGACCACAGAGTGTGTTTGCCAACAACGACCCCTTCTCTGTGCCACCTCAAATACCATCTCGGCCAGCACGGATTCCCCCTGGCATCCCCCCAGGAGTACCCAGGTAAGTCCCACAGCCTGCATCCTGGGGTCCCTTTGTGGAGACTTGAACCCCTCTCCCTTCTGATGGCTTCCGTGTAGCCCCAACAGGACACACAATAGCACAGGCAGTCCTGCTTATGTGCTGGGAAACTGAGCCCTAGAGGGACCAGCCCCTGTTTAGCCATAGAGAGCAGATCAGCTGATGCCAGGACTCCTGGCCTATCCTCTGAGCAGCAGGTTACATGTCCCCGAGCCACCGTTAAGCCAGCCGAAGTCACCAATGCCTCATACTAGGTTCTGGTCTCCCTGTCTGAGATCAAAGGAGAGCAGGCAAGTAGGGAAGAAGACACATCTGGTACAAGTGCCTACCACCAAGCCTGATGACCCAGGATCCTCCTGAAGGAGAGGACCAGCTCCTCCCAAGGCATGGAATGTGCCTATGATACCCAAACCAGCTAGTGACACGGGGATAGTAGAAAACCATCTGGATTTGACGTACTCCCTCCTGGTGCCCCAGTTCCGGGAGCACCCTGGGGTGGGCTGGAAGGGCTGGGTCCTCACCCTCATCCTGCTCCTGGCCTCACTGCCCTCCACCTCCCCATGTCTTTACTCTCTTTGCAGCAGAAGAGCGCCCGCTGCGCCCAGCCGGCCCACCATTATCCGCCCAGCCGAGCCATCCCTGCTCGACTAGGCTGCAGGGGCCAGTGCTCTGGGGGTCCTCGTGCACCTGCAGTGCAGGAGAGCTTTGGTGGTCTGGGCCCTGCCACTGCCCCCATGCTGGGACCAGGCTCCCTGTGGGCAACCCCTACCCTTTCCTCCCTGGCTCTGGTGGACATGACAGTGAGGGGAGGGGGTGGGCAGGAGTCCCAGACCACAGCACGTGGGGCCTTTGCACTTTGGGACAAGGAGGGATCTCTGGTTAGCAGAACAGGAACTGCTTCCTTGGGACCATCTGGAAAGAAAGATCCAGGCTGGTGTAGGGGAACTCTACACTGTATGCCTTTGTTCTTTCTTGAGGTACAGGAACTGTCGGCTCCTCAGGAGAGAGCCAGCCCCAACAGGCCCAAGTGCTGGCCACCCACCTGGCTTGAGTTGTATATATATTATCATCTTTGGCCATATTAACCAAACAACCTGAGCCCAAGCCAGTCTCGACAGCCAGAGGTGCCTTTGTGCCTTGCAGAGGCCTGGAGTGCCTCAGCTCTGGCCTGCCTCACTCTCCTCAGCCCCAGCGTGGTTTGGCCTGTTTGAACTGGGGAAGACATCAGGGGCCTCTTGGCTCCCAACCACAAGGCCCCAACAGGGTGGGCCCTGGGTGCCTCCGTGCAGATCCTGCTCCTACCGCTTGGTTTGACCACTGTTAAGTGCCTGCCTCTGTATATCCTATTAATAAACTAAAATAAAGGGAAGCCCCTCGGTGGCTTATGTGTGTGGGCCTTTTGTGTCTGTCCCAGCCTAGAGGGGGACTGTCCACCCCCTCATGGGGCTGCCCACCATTCACTCATTTACATGAGTCTTCTGTCGTCTGTTCTGAACCCTCTCTAACCACTTCAGAGATGGGAACAAATACTCCTCTTGTCCCCATCACCACCAGACCTGACACACTGTGCTCATAGGAAACAGGAATTCTAGCCACCACTATGAGTGGCACTATGGCCAGGCTCACTTCCAGGTCCCCCACTAGCTCTAAAGGGGACACGATTCAACTTTGCTTTATGATCTTTTTCTTTCGTGCCAGGCGACCACCTCCATCGGCTCCTGCCCGACCTTTCTTCTGAGCTTCGTGGGAGTGCCCTCCCCCTTCCTGGCTGCCCCTGGCTTGAGGCTAGATCTGTCCCAAGCTGATGTCCCTGAGCCCCAGTCACCAGACACTATTAACTTTTCTGACCATAATTTATTGACTGCAGTGCCCAGGACAGATGCCCTTTGTTCCTTGAGGCTCGTAGGCAGGCTCTGGCATGGCTGCACCTCAGCCCAGTATGAGGTCCTGCACCCAGAAAGGAGGAAGGGGTCCTCTTTTGGAGTCCTCTTATCAGACCATCAACCAACTGGCTCCCCTCTGGGCCAAGGGACCAGGGTGCCTTCCTGTCAAATAAAACTGACTGTCCTGGTACGAACTCTGCAGATGTGTCTCCTTCCCGGACCCTAGTGAGGTAGGCTTACCACCAGGAGCAAAGGGAAGACACTGGGGGTGAGGGGGCCAGCTGGGAAAAGGGTAGGGGCAGCCCTAGAGCCTGACTCCATCCTGAGAGCTGGAAGACTGAAGCTAAGGCACAATTTCTGGAGAAAACCAGGGCATCTGAGGGCCAAACATCCCTGCACTGCAGTGCCTAACACTTCCCACTCACAAGAAACAGGCACTGTTGCTGAGCCTCCCCTTTCCAAGGGGTCTCCAAGCCGTTGGCACTCCCTGCTCATTCAGGGAGACACAGGGGCCACTGCCAAGGACCCAACTGAGCAGTGTCTCGTCAAGAATCTGGAGGTCTCCAGCAAGTCACACACGCCTGCTGTCCTCCGCTGTTTCCTTCATCCTCTGTGGCAGGGGCTACGTGGGTACAGGGCGCTTGTCGTGGAAGAAGCGTTTGAGTGTGCAGACCTGCAGCACGGCCACCAGCAGCAGCACAGCCACATTGGCAGCTGACCAGAAGTTGACCCGCTCCAAGTTGTCTTCTTGAAGGTTACGATCACGAGCCTCAAATGCTCGCAGCAGAGTCAGCATCTGGATGCTCCGTTCGAGCCGGGTCTTCATGGTCTCTATGGATTCCTGCCGGGGCACGGAGAGGACAGGGTCCGGCTGCTTAGGTCTGAACCCTCACTCCCACAACCTACTGGCTCTGTGACCATCAGCAAGCAAGTTTGCTTACCTCTGGCTCCGTGTCTCACATCCTCTGCTAGAAACCCAGCCTCTGTTTTCCTTTTTTTCCCTCTGGTGTTCTCTTGTTTTGGGGTAAGACTTTTATTTTTTTCTTTTTAAGAGGGTAGACACATGTTGGACTAAACATGGAGGTCAGAGGACAGCTTCCACCATTTGGGTCCCAGGTAGTCAGGCTTGGTGGCAATTGCCTTTGCCTGCTGAGCCATTTCACCAGTCAAAGGCTGGTTTTCTGTGCAAGCCAAGGATGGCCTTGAATTTGTGATCCTCTTGCCTCCATGAGCAACCCACATCCAGTTTTTGCAGTGCTGGGTGTGGGAGCTCAGGGGTTCGAGTGTCCTATGCAAGTGCTTTGTTAAATGAATTATCCACAGCCCTTTCTTTTGGTTTTGTTAGATGGGATCTTACTATGTAACCTGGTTGGTCTTGAACTCACTGGAATCCTGCCTCAGCCTCATATGTGCTGGGATTACAAGCATACATCACCACATCAACTCACCTTGATGTCTTCCATTTTGACATCAAGCATCTCTTCCGGCTCCACAGCCTCAGCCCAACCTTCTACCTCCTCGTCATCTTGGAAGCTGTCAAAGATGAGCTCGAAGAACACTAGCTTCTCTGAGATGGTACTGAAGGAATTGTCAAAGCACAGCCTGTAGTCCCCGGCCTCAGTAGGCTCCACCCTGGGCAGACAGATGAGACACAGACATGACCCTGGAGTGACCAGCCAGCTGGTCTGTGGAGCCAGTAGGATGGTAACCCGAGGCCACTGGGGAGCTGGAGGGCTGTAACTGAACAAGGCAGGGCAGGACTTCACTCACGTGTGCACCCCATCAGCCTTTCGAGACTCACTGACCAACAGCACACCCTGAGGGCTCTCCAAGGTGAAATCCACATCCAGCCCAGCACCTCCGATCACCTGAAGAGGAGGTAAGAGTTGGGGAGTGGGCAGGTTTGAGCCAAGTCTGTCTTCCACAAAAGGCCTGGGTTGACCAAACCGGGAATGACCCACGTAAGACCACCATGAACCTATCTTTGGAAAAAAACAAAAAAACAAAAACTGGGGTAGAGGAATAGCGCCTGAGGAGATTAGAAGACAACTTGCAGGAGTCGGTTCTCTACTTAACAGGCCATCGGGATTTAGCAGCAAGCTCCTTTACCCGCCCAGCTAAAAATGGGTCTATCAGCACTGACCGGGTCCCCCGGTTCTTAAGACGCCTCTCGGTGAGGTCTTTCCTCAGGCCTCCCCGCCACCCCCTTGAGCAGTCCAACGTGGGCATCTACCTGGCCGCCAACTTTTATTGGTCAACTACCCTCAGAGCCCTCCCTAGAACCCAACTGAAGAGCTTTGGGCAGAGCACGCCCCCGCCCACAGGACTGTCAGCATTCTAGCCACACCCCGCCCCGCCCCTCCCGCCTCGTGGCCACGCCCCCCGGTCCTGCGCTGCGGCCCGAGCCCGGGACCCTCTCACCTGGTATTCAGTCTCCAGGCTAGCGTTAGCCGGCGCGGACTGGTAGAAGCACTGCTTCCTCCCGGCGGGAAGCAGGAATGTGAACTCGCCGTCCTGGATGGGCGGAGGCCCCGCCTCTCCCACTCCTACTGCTTGCAGGAATAGCCAGAGGGCCAGGGCTTTAGCCGCGCCGGCCGCCATCATCCGGGTCACCCTCTACTCGCTGGGCTTGGGTCCTTTAAGAGCTGGTCCCGCCCACCTTTCATTTCGGCAAAGCTCATTGGCTGCGGCTGCTGTTGGACCCCAAAGCCGTGGAATGCTATGTGAAGGACCCCAGAGAAGCGAGCTGCCCGGGAGAATGCCTAATCTGCAAAAAAGCATACTAAGGCTGCTGTGAAGCTTGTGAGACTTCTCCAAGGCTGCTGTTAACCACTGCATTTGGCGGAGGCAGTGACAGGCCTGAAGTGGTGAAGCATTTTTTTTTTTTTACAGGCAAAAATTAAGCTGACTAAAAGGGGAGGTTTGCGCATCCTCCTATATCACCCCCTGAGTCTGTTCCCCCGTTCAAAGGTTTCGTCCATTGGTTAGTCAGGTGTGAGCGGACCGGAGCAGCGATGGCGGCTCTTGTGGGTCCTGTTCGCAGCTCGTACGGAGCCTGCTTCAAAGAGCTATGATAGGCCGGTTGCTGGTTCTCCATTGTCGGGGTTCTGGCGGTGCTGGTTCGCTGAGCGGGAGCTCCCCAGACTCAACGCTAGCCCCAGCCTTTCTCTAAACTTTACGAGCTTTGGTCTCAAGTTGGGGGGGATGGAATGTTTGTTAGGTAGTTTGTAGAACTCCACCTCAACAGGCATCCAGTGCGTCTCAGATCTTTGGTCCATCAGATCCAAATGCATCTGTGCAAATGCATGCCGAAATTCCACCACTTGGAAGGCTGAGGCAGGAGTTGCCAAGAGTTCTAGGCCATCCTGAACCACATGGTTCCAGACCAGCATGAGCTGAAGAATAAGACCTTGTCTATAAAAATAAAAAAACCGAGGGATCTATTTGGGCCTCGAATGGCGCAGAGAATTAAGGCGCTACTGCTAAACCTGATGGCCTGAGTGAAGTCCCCAGGTCCTCCCTGTTGGAAGGACAGAATTGACTCCCACAAGTTATCCTCCTAGCTCTGTGCACGCACACTCACACAAAGTGCTGTGCTGTTCAGTTTTTGTCCACTTGACACAAACTCATCTCCTAACAAAACTGAGTCTCACTTGCGGAATTCTCTCGTGGACTATTTATTCATTGCTAATTGATGACGGACGACCTAGCCCACTGTAACTGGTACCATCTCTAGGCGAGTGGGTCTGAGCTGCGCAAGAAAAGTAGCTGAGCAAGCCAGTAAGCCGTTTTACTCCATAGTAAAACTCCCTGACACCCTCCTTGGTCAACTGTGATTGGGACGGACTTGTAAGCTAGATACACTGTTTCCTCCCCGAGTAGTTTTTGGTCACAGATTTTATCTCAGCAATAGAAACAAAACTGGAACACAAACAAAATACAATGTAATAAAAAGATTGGTGCACACCTTTAATCCAGCACTCAGAAGGGAGAGGAAGGTGAATCACTTGAGTTTGAGGACAGCCTGCATAATGAGTTCCAGGTTAGACAAGTTTCCACAGAGAAACCCCTGTGTCTTAATAAATTTTAAAAATTTATTAAAATTAAGGGGGGTATAATTTGGTGGTAGAGCATTTGCATAGCATGAACAAGTCCTAGATTCAACTCCCATCACAACAGAACACACACACTCACCAACAAACCCCAAAAGTTAGTGGTGTGACCTGGGTCAGGAAAGGATAGTATGATAATTTTGTTAACACAATCTGGAGTCAGCTGAGAAGAAAGTCTCAGGAAGTGGTTGCCTAGAGCAGGTTACACTGGGCGACTGTCCTGTGTTAGTTGAGACATGGGCACTGTGGGAGGTTCCCTGGACTTGGGTCCTGACTGTCTGAGACTCCAGAGCGGAAGTGCTGTAGTGAGCGTAGGTCAACTTTCATGACTGTGGGTGTGATGTGACTGTCTCTCTAGTTCCTTTTGCTCTCACCTCTGTGCTCTGACAAACTGCAACTCGGAATTGTGAACTATAATAACCCTTTGACACCTAAGTTTCTTTTGGTCAGGCTATTTCATCACAGCAACAGAAATAAATGGGCTGAGTCTGAACACATATAGCCAAGGTCAGGAGTGCAGGCCTCAGAGTAAGGATGCCTGGTTCAAATCTCAACCTTTAACCTTTAATTTAAAAATCTGTGCCAGGGGGCTGGAGAGAGAGCTCAGAGGTTAAGAGCACTGGCTACTCTTCCAGTTCCTGAGTGCAATTCCCAGCAACCACATGGTAGCTCAGAACCATCTATAATGAAATCTGGTGCCCTCCTCTAGAGTGTAGGCATACATGCATGCAGAATACTTTATATACACATACACACACACACACACACACACATATAACATATATATATAAAATGTTGCGTTTTTTTTTTTAATCTGTGCTGGGCAGTGGTGGCACATGCTTTTAATCCCAGCACTCAGGAGGCAGACACACTTGGATCTCTGAGTTTGAGGCCAGCCTGGTCTACAGATTGACTCCCAGGACAGCCAGGGCCACCCCCCCATAGGCTCATATATTTGCACACTTAGTTCCCAGTTGACGAATTGTTTGGAAAAGATTGAGTATGACCTTGGAAGGGTGTGTTACGGGGAGGGGTTTGAAATTTCAAACCAGGCCCAGTCTCTCTCTGTCAGCTGACTAAAGATCAGGATATAAACCTCAGCTACTGCTCTAGCTCCATGCTTGTCTGCTTTCCACCATGATGATCATGGACTAAGCCTCTGGAACTGTAATCAAGCCCCCAATTAAATGCTTTCTTTACAAGAGTTGCTCTGGTCTGCTGAAGAGGTGGCTCAGAGGTGAGGCGTGCTGGTTGCTTTTCCACAGGCGGCTCACAACAGCACGTGACCCCAGTTCCAAAGAACCCTGCATCCTCGCATCCTCCTCTAGCCTCAGTTTCCAGGCACACTTGCAGCAGTTGTACACATGCAGGTAAAATACACATAAAATCAAATAAATTTTTAAAAAAAATCAATTTGGGCTGCACAGAGCCTTGTGGTTAAGAGCACTTACTGCTCTTCTGAAGGTCCCGAGTTAAATTTCCGCAGCACCCACAAGGCAGCTCACAACTGTGTGATGCCACCTTCTGGTATGAGGATGTGCATTCAGACAAAATAGCCAATATATAAAGGCACATAAATAAATCTTAAAAAACAGCCAGGCATGGTGGTACATTCATTTAATCCCAGCACTCAGGAGGCAAAGGCAGGTGGATCTCTTTGAGTTGGAGGCCAGCCTGGTCTACAAAGTGAGTCCAGGGCAACCAGAGCTATTACACAGAAAAATGTTGTCTCAAGAAAAATAAAAACAAAAAAATCCAGCATGGTATTGGCATAAAAGACACATTGATCAATGGAATCTAATTGAAGATCCCAGTGTAAGTCCATACACCTATGGACACCTGATTTTTCACAAAGAAGCCAGAAACATACACTGGAAAAAGACAAATGGTGTTCGTCAATCTGGCTGGCTGCATGTACAAAAATGCAAATAGATTTTTATATATATCACCCTGCACAAACTTAACTCTAAATGGGTCAAGAACCTCAACATAGTGCCAGGTAACACAGAACCATATAGGAAAGAAAGTGGGGAATAGGGCTGAAAAGACTTTTTCAGAAGTCTTGAACAGAACACCATCAGCACAGGCACAATAATTAATAAATGGGGCCTCAGGCAGGCGATGGTGGCGCACACTTGTGATCCCAGTGTTCTGGGAGGCAGAAGCAGGCAGATCTCTGAGTTTGAAGCCAGCCTGGTCTACAGAGCAAGTTTCAGGGCAGCCAGGGCTGTTAACACAGAGAAACCCTAACAAATATAAGTAAATAAGTAAAAAAACGGGATCTCATGAAACTGAAAAGTTTTTATAAGATGAAGGACATCATGTCAATCAGACAAAGAGACAGCCTATAGAATGGGAAAATATCTGTATAATTACACATCTGATAGTGGCCTAATATCTAAAATATATAAAGAACTAAAAAAAAAAAAAAAAAAAAACTTTGCATCGATTAAATATCCCCAATTAAAAATGGTGTGCAGAGCCCATCAGTTTCTAAAAGAAGAAACACAAATGGCTGAGAAACAAATCTTCCACATCTTTAGTCATCAGGAAAATGCAAATCAAAACTATTTAAGATTTCATCTTATATCGATCAGAATGGCCAAGATCAATAAAACAAATGATAATTTATGCTGATGAGGATGTGGGGAAAGGAAACACTCATTCTTTGCTAACGGGATGCAAACTTGCACAGCCACTCTGCAAATCGGTGTGGTTCCTCAGGAATCTGACAATAAGGGAACAGATCTACCTCAAGATCCAGCTATACCTGCCCTGGGCATAAACAAAAAGAACTCTACCTACTACTACAAAGATGCTTGCCAGGGGGTGGTGGCTCTCACCTTTAATCCCAGCATGCAAGAGGCAGAGGAAGATGGATCTCTGAGTTCCAGGACAGCCAGGGCTACACAGAGAAACCCTGTCTCAAAAAATGAAAAAAAAAAAAAACAAAACAAAACAAAACAAAACACTGGGCGTCCACCATCATTGCTGCTCTGCAAATTTCTATGCCAGAAATTGAAAACATTCTAGATGTCTATCATCAGATGAATAGATAATGAAAATGAGGTAAATGCACAACAAACTATTACTCAGCTGTTTAAAAAAATGAAATTCACAGGTGGATGGATGGAAGTTAAGGTGAAGGAACCCAGACCCCAAAAGATAAGTATGGGATATGTCGCTCATGTGAGGCTGTTGGCTTTCAAGCCTTCCACAGGCATGCTACAGCTGTGTAATCATAGAGGTTAAGTGTAGAGTAAGGGCCTAGGCAAGAGCAATCTCCCAAGGAAGAGAAATACAAACAAAATACACGGTTATGGAGAGACGGTGTGGGAGACGCTGGAAGAGGAGGATTAAATAGAGATATGGGGAGGTGAAGGTGGTTACAGGGCGAGTGGGGGAGGGGTAACAGTAAAGGCCAGTTGAGGGTTCACATAGAAACCTACCACAGTAGAAACTTCTTAGAATATATACACATGTGAAAGAAATCTAAACAGGATTATGGGGAGACAAAGCCCCAGCCAGATGTCTCTTGCCACCAAGTGAAGCCTCCAGTGCCTAAAATTGGTTACATCTGATTGAGTTGTTGGCCAAAGGAAGCCTATGGAAACTCCAAACAACTTAGGCTATTACCAAGGCTATTGGTTACGCTTTACAAACTGAGGGTGAGGCCTTGAAGACAACACATACCTTGAAGACAACAACATACGTGGAGAAGCCGTGCTTTTGCCTGCCTAGAGCCTTCGCCCTGTTGACTGGTGCCTGTGGGACTCTGCATGCTACCAAGGGAGAAAGCTGAACACCAGCTCAGCTACAAACCCTTCACTCTGCAGTGGTGACCTCTGCCTGGTGCAACCATGGCTCAAAACTGTGGGAGTACCAACTCCTCTGAGAGTGGATTTAAGGCCATCCTGTCACTGCTTGAGTGGCCAAGAGTTTGAGACCAGACAGACCACGGGTCTAGGGGAGAACCCAACGCTACTGTCCTGCTAGAGGCTCCTAATTACATCCCTCCGTACCCATAGCTCCCTCAGCACCTTGTTCAGCCATCATCAGACGCTCCCTCCTGCAGAAGATGGGAACAAGTACAGCGACCCACAGCTGGACCATGTGCAGAGGATAAGAAGCCTTGGAACACGCAGTCCTAAATGGGATGTCTCCATCAAATCTCTCCCCTCCGGGCTCAGAGAACTAGATGGCATAGGAGGCGGAAAGGGTGTAAGAGCCAGAGGGAATGGAGGACACCACGGGAACAAAGGTCTTCTAAACAGACTGACATGTGAGCTCACAGAGACCATGACAGCATGCACAGGGCCTACAGAGGTTCAAGCCAGATGGGATCCTAACAGTGAGAAGGGGAAGCAGACCAGAAGCTATCTTCAAGTTCAGCCACTCACAAAGGAAGAATTAGGTTTTTTCCTATAGTCTTACATCACACACTGAAGGGCAGGCCCCAGGCCCAGCAGTAGATGGCGACACAAAACAAATTCAATAATCTTTTTAAAGGGTTTTTTGTTTTTTTTTTTAATTTTTTTTGCCTCATAACAATTCGTCTGGGTATTTTTTTTTACCTTAATGGTCTTTTGTTTATTATACATTATGACTTTTAATTTTGTGTTTTAATCATTTATGTGTATTTCTTCTAATTTTTCTTTGGGTTTTTTGTGCTTTCTTTTGGTTTTGTTTGTTTGCCTATTTGTTTCTAAAGAGAGAGGGAAAGAAATGGTGGAGTTAGAATGGGTAGGGAAGATCTGGGAGGAGATGCAGGAAGGAAAACCATGATCAGAATATATTGCAAGGAAAATATTTTCAATAAAAAGACAAACATTTAAATGAGGAGAATACTCCACTGGGTCTTCGTTTCCCTGTCCAGGAGTGAGAATACTAGCCCCAGCTAGCTTTGGTGAGGGCTGAGTGAGGTGAGGCTTGTGGCCCGGCTAGGACATCTGGAGCCAGTGGCTCTGCTATTGATTGCCCTCCAGTGGGCACTGGTCATCTCCACTCCACCTCGGGCTACAAGGTCCAGCTCCCTCCCTCCGGAAAGCAAACATTAGCAACAAAGTAATTGGAACAGTAGACAGAAGAACTGTCCACCGGAATTCTCCAGACTTCAGGACAGAGGAGGTAGGCAGCAGGAGCAATGGCGCTGGAACACGCCAGCTCCCGCACAGGGATTTCCTCAGGACGGGGAGTGCAAGCAGCCACGGTGGGGACACTGGAGAGGATCCCTGCCAGAATAAACAGGATTAAAACAACGTCTAAGAAGAGACAAGGACTTGATTCCTATTTATTTATTTGAGCACAGTGAATGTGTACTGATTAAGAAGAACTGAGAAAAAACTCGCCCGAGTGGGAGGGTCCCAGGGAAACCTGTTTTCTCTCACTGTGTCTAGATTTGTTTCCTCCCTATGTGACTGTGACAGCGCCACACCAGGCCCGTGGACAGGACAGGACAACTTGCGTGAGCCGTCTTTCTCCTTCAACCACCTGGGTTCTGGGGATCCAGTTCAGGTCATCAGGCTTGGTGGCTGGTGGCTTTACGTCAAGAGTCACCTCACCGGCACCAGCACCCTTAGAAAGCGTGCACGCGGCTCTCTGGGTCTGGTTTCAGTCACCAAGTACCCCTTTCCATTTTCATCTCCATACAGCAGCACTGAATTCTCTGCGGCTGGTGGGGACTGTGCACACAGCTGTCTGAGAAGCAGGGGCTTCTGTAGCCCAGGCTGCGATGAAACCCTCCGTAGGGAAGGATGTCAGAACCACCCTGCCTCCTCATCACAAGGGCTGGAATGGCAGATGACATACTATGCCTGGTTTCCGGGGTTTGGTGGACGGGACACAGACAGCCTGTAAGCCACACAAGCCTCTACCTCTGAGGTACAGCCCCAGCAAAAACAAGCAAACATACAAACAAAACAAAAACAAACAAACAAACAAAAACAGCAACAAAATACCGACTGTTCGGGGGGTGGGGGTTGGGGGGAAAGGCCTGCCTACAATTCCTGCTCACCAAGGATCGCCTATCCACCTCATGGCCCTGAGCGTGGGTGTCAGCTTAGATTCCTCATTCACACCGTGACTCCCCCTGTCACCATGTGATCCCCTTTCACTTCTGAGACCCCCCCTAACCTCTATGACTCCCCCTCTCCCTACTGTGACTACCCTACTGTGACTCTCCTTATCACCTCTGTGACTCCCCCTTGTGCGATGGTTATTTTTGGTGGTCCACTTGACTGCCCGGACAGCTGGGCACACCTATGAGGGATTTTAATACATCATTTGAGGTAGGAAGATCTGCCTTTAACGCGAGCCGTACCTTCCTCGGGCAGCCTATATAAAGGTCATGGAAGGAGGAAGCTTTGCTCATTACCTGGTATTCTCGCTCTTGTAACGAGCCCATTCCTTCACCAGCATTAAAGCCCACTTCTTTGGGATTTCAGTCTATACTGCAGACCAGCTAAGACATCCAGCCTCTTGAATGAATGAGCAACTACTGGATCCTCAGACCTTTCACTGGTGGACATCCACTGCTGGACTAGCTGGACCACAGCCTGTAAGCCACTCTAGTAAATCTCCTTTGTGCATATTCTCTAAGTTCTTTATTCTCTAAGTTCTGCTCCTAACACACCCTGTCACCACAGTGACTCACCTGTCGCCTAGCAATTCTTTTCAACATTGTGATTTCACCCGTGATTTGAATGAGAGTGGTCCCCAAAAGCTTATATTCTTGAATAATTGGTCCTCAGTTGGTAGCTGTTTGGGAAGTGTTAGGATGTGTCAGCCTTTTGGCGGAGGCATGTCACTGGGGGTGGACTTGGAGGTTTTAAAACCCTTAAGCCATTTACAGTGTCACTCTCTGCTTCTCCGTGTGGTTCAACATGTAAGCTCTTAGCTGCTCCTGCCCCCATGCATTTGCTCTGACCATAGACGAACCCTCTGGAGCTGTAAGCCCAATGACCAGCTTTCTTTCATAGGTTGCCCTGGTCATGGCATTTTATCACTGTAATAAAATGTGTGCCATTGCTGTGGAGACCTGGCCGTGTTGGTGGGTCTTTGCACTGTGGAAGACTTTGGGAATTTGGAAGAAGAAAGCATTTGTGCTGTGAGGAGAGTTCAATGAACCATCCTAGCAGGAGCTTGGAAGACAGTGGCACTGGGAGCTGTGTGGACTGGAGGCCTAGCTCAAGAGGTTTCAGAGGGCAACAATATTAGCAGCTAGACTAGTAACTGGGGGATATTTTGGCAAAAAAAAAAAAAAAAAAAAAGCGGGTGCTAAGTTGAAAAGCAATGGACTATTTCTTTGGTGGAAGGGATTTCAAGACAGCCTAACTGACTGTATCACGTGGCTATTAGTCATCACCCTTACTCAGATCTGTGATGAAAAAGAGCAAAGGGGTAGAAAGGAATATAATTCTGCAGTGAAGGAAAAAAACACCACAGCCAAGGGTTGAGCTGAAAGACGAGGAGGTTAAGGTGAGCGAGGCCTGATCTGCAGTGGAACGGAGGGAAGGGTGCTCTCATGGCATGACCCCAGCCAGGAAACTTCCAACTCGTGAAATGAAACGGCCTAAGGGATTTCTACTCCTAAAAAGCAAAAAGAAAGGAAAGTGGCCACAAATATGATTCAACGGGCCATGCTGCATCCCAGACAGGCAGTTTAGTGGTTTCACAATCCTGGTTCCGACTTTAGAATGAAGGGGTTGCGGAAGCTCCCTCTGTAATTGAGGAGAACTTGAGGCCAGGCAATGTATGACTGAGAAGTCCTTGCTGGTTTGAGGGCAGCCTCAGGCTGCCCCAGACTCTGTCTAAAAAACCCAACAAACACAGCAAACGACACTCACTCGGGAGTCATTAGGGAACTAGACATGAAAACCATAAAAGGCCACTTCCACAGTAAAAACAAAACGGAAACTAAAAGCTGGTGACAGAACCTAACGGGAAACTACACAGTTGCCATTAATGGGAAAGGCAACACTCTGGTAAGTCCTAAAGTTACAACAAATGACCATAACTTGACCTTTGTGAGACTGAAAACAGATACTAAAATACTCAGCGCTCAGGAGGCAGAGGCAGGCAGATCTCTGAATTCGAGGTCAGCCTGGTCTATAGAGCAAGTTGCAGAACAGCCAAGGCTACATATAAAGAAACCCTGTTGCCAGGCGTGGTGCCACATCTCTGCAATCCTGGTTCTTAGGGAGGAGGCAGAGGCAGGCAGATCACTATAAGTTGGAAGCCAGCCTGGTCTACAAAGTGTGTCGAGGACAGTCAAGGCTACAGAGAGAAACCCTGTCTCAAAAAAATAAATAAATAAATAAACAAAATAAAATGTATGGTTCAAACCAATATGAATCCCAACAGTGAAAATGAGACATCACAGAAGTGAAATGCAGAGCCCCGGTGTGGAGAAAGGCTCAGCGGCTGAGCGCTCACTGGCTCCTCTTGCAGAGGTCCTGGGGACCATTCCCAGCACCCACACGGCACTTCACTGCTAACTGTAGTCCCAGGGCATCCGAGACGCTCCTGAATCCTTGGGCACCATACACAGGAGGTGCACAGACATGCATGCAAACAAAATAGCAATACGCATCAACTCACAAAATACAAGATAGGTGAATAAGGCCGGGCATGATAGTGCTCAACCACCATCCCAGCACCTGGAAGACAGGGGAAGGCACAGCTCTGAGCTTGAAGCCAGCCTGGTCTGCACAGTGAGACCCCCGTCTCAAAGAACAAAACAAAATTAAAAACAGAAAGTAAAGGGGGGGAGCAATCAATAAAAAGAAAGATGGAGTCACAGTGACAGAATGAGCTGTATTACCTGCTTCTCTGCTGTGATAAAATACCGTGAGTAAGGCGATCTAGACAAGAAAGACTACAAGGTCCGGGAGGGCTGGAGTGCAGGGAAGAGCAAAGGCAGGTTGGCAGGGGCAGCTGAGAGTGAACAGCACCCCTGGTGACACCTCCTCCAGCACGACACCTCCTCCAGAACAACACTTCCCAAACAGTTCCACCAAGTCAAGACTAAGCTTGCAAAGAGGAGCCCCGGAGGCCATTCCTATTCTAACCACCTCTGTCTGCTCAGCTTAAGGCTGGAGGATGCCTTGGCAGTGAAGAGCGCTGGCTGCTCTTCCAGAGGACCCAGGCTCCATGCCCGGCACCAGCATGGTAGCTGACAGCTGTCTGTGACTCCAGAGAATTCTCATGTGCTCCTGTTGGATGCGTGTGGAGCACAGACATATGTGCAGGCAAAATACTCACATGAAATAAATGTAGAACCTTTACAAAGACTCTGCAAGTTCAAAGTCCAACTCTCTTCTCTTAACTGTAATCCCCTGTAAGATTAAAAAAAAAAAAAGTCAAACTGCATGCTTCCAACCTATGATGGCACAGAATACACATTACATTCTTCCCAAAAGGGAAGAAAGGGAGCACGGTGAGGAAATATGGAGCCAAAGCAAGACCTAAGCCAGCAATACAAACTCCAAAATCTGTAGCCCCATGTCTGACGTCAGAGGGCTTAGACAACCCCACCCTTCCAGCTTTGCTAGCTGCAATCCACCTCTCTCCTGACAGGTTCCAGGCCCTGCATGCAGCTCTTCTTGGCAACACAAAATTTAGGCTTCACTTTCCCAGCTTCATGCAAGGCCTCGGGTCTCCATGCCTCCAGCCTCCACTTTTCAAGTGCTGGGATTATAAGCACGCCTTACGGGTGGTTTTCTCCTCCTCTTTCATCCTTGTGTATCTGCTTTGGAGAAACATTTATTCACACCTTTTGCACATTTCAAACTTGGTTGTGTTGTTGTTGATATTTGGTTTTGGTTTTGGGGTTTTCTTTTCGAGATAGGGTTTCTCTGTATAGCCTTGGCTGTCCTGGACTCACTCTGTAGACCAGGCTGGCCTCAAATTTACAGAGATCCGCCTACTTCTGCCTCCCAAGTGCTGGGATTACATGTGTGCGCCATCTTTTGTTGATGTTTAAATGCCCCTTATAGATTGTATCCCTTGTTTTTCTCTCTCCCTTATGTTGTTGTTGTTTGTTTTTGAGACAGGGTTTCTCTGTGTAGCTTTGGCTGTCCTGGACTTGCTTTGTAGGTCAGGCTGGCTTCAAACTCACTTCTGTCTCCCAAGCGCTGGGATTAAAGGCGTGCACCATGGCTTCCCTTGCTTTTCCTTTGCTCGAATGCCTATCGGAAGCAGCTTAAGGAGGAAGTGGGTTTTGTTGCTCACAGTCTATAGCACAGTGCGTCTGCGCAGAGAAGGCAAGGCAGCAGGGCCTGAGGGACACAGTCAGAATCAGAAAAGCTGCCAGGGAGAAATTCTGCCGCTCACCTCCCTCTTCCCTTGTTATTCAGCATGGACCCAGCCGTGAGTTTATTGCTGCCCACGGTTTACCCAGTCTAGAGCCTCCCTCACAAAGTCCAGCTCTCTTCTCTTAACTGTAATCCCCTGTAAGGTTAAAAAAAAAAAGTCAAACTACATGCTTCCAACCTCTGATGGCACAGAATACACATTACATTCTTCCAAGGGAAGAAAGGGAGCACGGTGAGAAATAGGTGTGCCCAGTTTTCTTCCCATGATTCCACATCTGTCAAGCGATGCTAATCTAGTATCTTCCTTTGTTTTCTGTTATAGCACACCTTGGCTTACCCGGGACAGGAAAGAACAGCTCTTGGGAGTTGGTCCTTTTCTGCCACCTTGTGGTGTTCAGGGATCAGACTCAGGTTGTCAGCGCTTCGTGTATGACTCTACCAGCTCACTGGCGCAACCTGACTCTCTCTACACGTACATGTGTAGGTATAATTTTTTTTGAGACAGGGTCTCACTATGTAGCCCTGCCTGACCTGGAGCTCACTATGTAAACCAGGCTTGCTTCAAACGCACAGAGATCTGCCTCCTTAATGGTGGGGTTAGAGGCATACACCACCATGTCTGCCCAGGTTGGCAGTATTAGCCATCGCACGCTTTGCTGTCCTTTGTGGGAGTACATGAAGGACAGGCTAGAAGAAGGCAGCAGCTCCCCCAGAGCTGGAGTTCCAGGCACTTGTGAGCTGCCTAACACGGGTGCTGGGAACTGAACTCAGTATGAGCTCTTAACCACCGAGTTACCTTTTTTCATTTATTCATCTATATGTGTGGGAGGGCGTGCATGTGCTACAGAGTCCATGTGGAGGCAGAGGACAACAGTAGCCAGTTCTTTCCTTCTACCAAGTGGACCTAGGATGCTGAGCTCTGGTGTCAGGCAAGGCGGTAAACATCTTTACCCAGCCAGCTGTCTCTCCAGCCCCATTCCACCGTTTGTGCTGATCTGGCCATGTGTGCCGCATTCGTGTGCCTCTGATAACCAAATCCCACAGAATTCACCGTGTAGCCAAGGATGACCTGAACTGGTCTTCCTGCCTCTGTCTCCCAAGTACTGGAATTATAGGTGTGCACCAGCACATCCAGTTTATCAAGTGCTGGAGCTGGGACCCAGGGCTTTGTGCAGGGTAGGCATGCACTCTACCGGGTGAGGAACAATTGTTTCCTGGCTGTCTACAATAGTCCTGCGCACGATTCACGGGGCTGGCTGCTGTAGCAGGAGACTGCGGCACACAGTTCCAGCTGTTGTGGCTTCAGGTAGGCAACGGGGAGGAGGCTCCAGTGGTGAGCTCATGGTTTGCTGGTTCATAGGAACCGTCAGCTTGACACAATCTAGAATCTTCTGGGAAGGGAATCTCAGTGAGGGACGCTCTAGGTCCACCTGGCCTGTAGGACACTGGCTTGATGATGCTAATTGCTGTGGCAGACCCAACCTGGGCTTGGGGCCCCATCTGTGCGGAACAGGAGCTGAGCATTGGCACATTTACTCCCTCCACGCTCTCTTTGACAAAGCAACAGCCATAGAAGGTAAGCATTGGTTTATTGTTCTTGTTTTCGGACAGGGTCTAGTTACGTAGGGCTGGCTGGTTTGGAACTCACAGAGATCTGCCTGTCTCTGCCTCCTGAATGCTGGGATTACAGGTGGTACTGGTTTTGAAGGCATGATGAGAGAGCAGCCTGGTGCTGGGAGAGGTCAGGAGAGGCCATGGTGACGGTGTAGCTTCAACAGCAATGAGAACCCCAAGATCGAAGGGATCCTGGAGAGACGCTGATCTTGGCCCCATATGGCAGGCTCAGCTTCTCTGAAGCAAGCCCAGGAGAGACTAGGGTGAAGGTGCCCAGGGGCAGCAGAGAGCTGCATTTTGGAGATGCCATTGCCAAGGACAGCAGCAGCTTCGGAGTAGAGCCTGCCTGAGCCTTCGAGACGAACACCATGTGCTTCAGACATCAGCGCTGGCAAAATGGGGCCCCGGGGGACCTAGTGGCTGCCGGCAGCAGTTTAACCCTGTTGAACCTTGGGTTTTTTTTTCTGGTTTGATTTAAGCGCCATAGTTCTTACTTCTTGAAGCAAGAAAGTATTTAGCTTATTTTTGATTTTACAAGAGCCCACAGTTGAGAGACTTTGAAATTTTAAAGTTTTGGAGAGACTTTGAAATTTCAGAGCGATTTTCAGTATTTTAGAGAAACTATGGGTATTTTAAAGAGACTGAACTTTTAGAGTGTTTGAATTTGTAAAAACTGTGGGTCTCTATTAAAATTTGAAATGTTGGGGCTGGAGACTCACTCGGCTCAGCAGTTAAGAGCACTGGCTGCTCTTCCCAAGGACAGGGGTTCAATTCCCAGCACCCACATCGCAGCTCACAACTGTCTGTAACTCCAGTTTTAGGGGATCTGACACCCCCACACAGATATACATGCGGGCAGAACACCAGTGTATACATAAAATAAAAATAATTTTTTAAAAAAATTGAAATGTTGCCAGGAGGTGGTGGTGCACACCTTTAATCTCAGCACTTCGGGAAGCAGAGGCAAATGGATCTCTATGAGTTCGAGGCCAGCCTGGCCTGTAGGGCGAGTTCCAGGACAGCCAGAGGTACACAGAGAAACCCTGTCACACACACAAAAAAGCTGAAATGTTTTATGTGATATTAAACATGACATCTTGGGAACGAATGAAAAAAATGCAAGGATCTAGTTGACTGCTGACAGGCCTGCATGTCAGTTGTGCTGGCTAGTTTTATGTCAACTTTATATAAGCTGGGGTCATTTTAGAAAAAAGAAATTGTAATAGAGAAAATGTCCCTGACAGGTTGGTCTAATGGAAACCAATAATAATTGGCATGGGAGGGCCCAGGGCACTGTGGGTGGTTCCATCCCTGGGCTGGTGGTCCTGGGTTTATAAGAAAGCAGGCTGAGCAAGCCGTGGGGAGCAGGCCAGTGAACAGCACCCTCCATGGCCTCTGCCTCAGCTTCCGCCTCCAGGTTCCTGCCCTGCTTGAGTTCCTCCCCTGACTTGCTTTGATGAGGAACAGTGATGTGGAACTGTGAGAAAAATGAACCCGGGCTGGAGAGGTGGCTCAGAGGTTAAGAGCACTGGTTGTTCTTTCAGAGGTCCTGAGTTCAATTCCCAGCACCCACATGGTGGCTCACAACCATCTGTAATGAAACCTGGTGCCCTCTTCTGGCAGGCACACATGTAAACAGAACACTGTAGACATACTAAGAAAGAAAGAAGACAGAAAATTAACCCTTTCCTCCCCAGGGTGCTTTTGGTCAGAGTTTCATCGCAGCAATAGAAACTGAAGGCCGTGAGCACCAACTTGGCAGCGCCCTATCTTCCCACGCCTGCACTGTTGTAGCGGCCTCTCCTATTTTCTTCCCGGGTAATTTTTTTTTCTTTCACCTTGATTAGTCTTGCTAGGGGTTTCAATTTTTTATTCCGTTTTTACACGTGTATATGTGTGAGCCTATGTGATATGACACTTGTGTACCCTGAGCCCACATAGAGGTCAGAAGACAACCCGTGGGACTCATCCTCTCTCACACCATACGGGCTCCAGGGGTGAAACTTGGGTCACTAGGCTCAGTGGCAGCATCTTTTGCCTACGAAGCCATCACAACAGCCTCCTGAGTCCCCCGGGAGAAGTGCTCTTAACCACCACGTTATCTCTCCAGCGTTTAATTTATTTTTATAACTAACTTTTGTTAATCTTTTGGGGGCTTGGGGGATGGGCTCGAGACAGGCTTTCTCTGTGTAGCCCTGGCTGTCCTGGAACTCACTCTGTAGACCAGGCTGTACTCAAACAGGGATCTGCCTGCCTCTGCCTCTGGAGTGCTGGGAATAATGGTGTACGTCATTACATCTAATGACTGGTTGGGTTTTTGTTTGTTGTTTTGAGACGGGGTCTCAGTGAGATAGCCAGATACACGGAGAAATTCTGTCAGAGGAAAAAAAAAATTTAAAGAGGGTGGAGTCTCGCTGCACAGACCAGGCTGCCCTTGGCTGAGTCTGAAATGTGCATCTTGTATTTCTGGTTGTGAGCCTTTAATGGCTGAGCCATCTCTCCAGCCCGAGATGTGCTTCGTTTTCAGGTTTGTTTATGGGGGTTTTGACTATATGTACAACCTGTGTGTAGTGCCCAGGAATCCAGAAATGTCCATTGGATCCCCTGGAACCAGAGTTATTGGCAGCTGTGAGCTGCCATGTAGGTGCTGGGAATCAATCCCAGGTCCTTTGGAGGCACAGCTAGTGTCCTTAACCACTGACCTGTCTCTCCAGCTCCAGGGACTGCTTCTTTTTTCTTGGTGACTGCATCAGTTACTTCTCTGTTGCTGTGATAAAATGCCACTACCAAGACAACCTAGAAGGAAGGGTTGAGTTTACGGTTCGGTTCCAGAGGTAGAATCCATGATGGTGGAGTGGGGGCTAGCACAGTGGCTGAGAGCAAGATGTCTTGAATTACAAAGAGGAAGCCAAGAGCAGGCTGGGATCGACAGCAGTTTGAACTCTTGGAGCCCGCCCCAAGCAGTGCACTTCCTCCAGCATGGCCTCCGGAACTTCCCAAGTCATGCCACCAACTGCCCTGTTCAAATGCCTTAGCCCATGGAGACAGTCCCATATAAAACACCATAGTGGGGGCTCTCTGTGAGTTCGAGAACAGCCTGGTCTACAACGTGAGTGTAGCCAAGGCTACACAGAGACACCCTGCCAAAAACAAACAAACAAACAAACAAACAAATAAGAAAACAAAACAAAAAACATAGTGATCAAAGTCTACACCCTGGTGTAGACTTTCAGGCACATTTTAGGACTGAATAGGAAACTAAATAAAATTTTTGTTTTGTTTTTTAAGACAGCCCTGGCTGTCCTTGACCCACGTTGTAGACCAGGCTGGCCTCAAACTACCTGCCTCTGCCTCTGTAGTGTTGGGATTGAAGTCATGTGCCCCACACCTGGCAGAAACTATTAAAAAAATATATCATGACCTTCGAAGTGTATAAATTGCACAGAAACTTACCCAGCCAAATTTCCCATTTTCTCCATCTGTTGTTCCTTCAACTACCTTAGGAAGGAAGCCTTGAGGCCTTTATATCCGAAGCTAAAACTACTAGGCATGGAGCTACTGAAAGCTAGCTTTCTCTTCCACAGAGCCACGCCCCCAGCTCCCCCCTGGGGTGTTCTAGGCAAGCATTCTCAGGGAAGGAGCCAGGCCCCTTGGCTACACCGTTGCATTTGCTGTTACAAGTTCCTTGATCTAATTAATACCCACTACTCTTAATGCCCTCTCTAGGGCAGCTGAGACATCACAGTTCTCAGATCTTGTCTAAGGACACCCCACCACCTCACTTTGTTTTGCCACTTCTTCGTCTTAGGTAGAGGCTTCCCTCTTAGCCCACTGACACTACCAAGGTTTTGGGGGTTGGAGGAAGCGAACAAATATTTTTCCCTGCAATGCACAGAACTGTAGACAGTGGGCCTGCTGAGCACTGGTAGGGTGGCTGTGTGTTTGGGGAAGGGGTGGGGACAGAAGGGAGTCTCTTTTGGTGCCCAGTCCTGTGTGCAACTTCCTGCCACTGAGGAAACAGTACAAACCAACACTCGCTTCTCCTTTCTCTACTGTGGTCTCGGGCTGGCAGGGAGCCCCATATCCTTGTGGCCTCAGCCAGCTTTCCCAGCCCTACATGGGAGGAGAGATGCCCTGGACCATTCTTCTGTTTGCATCTGGTGAGTCTGAAGCTTGCCCCTGGGGAAGCACCTACTCCCTGTCTACTCCCTGTCTACCATGCCTCCCCGTGGGGCAGAAAGCACAGTGGGGCTGCCCCCTCCAGTTTAGATGACTGCCAGCCTTCATCTGAGCTCTCTCATGCCCTGCAAGGCGAGTTCTGTAGAAACCTCGGCCTGTCACTGTCCGAGACTCAGCCCCCTTGGCCTCCAGGCCTGTGGCACTCAGAGTACGGGACTTGGGGAACTGTGCTGCAGGAGAGGTCTGTGCACAAGCTCTGTAGAGTGTCATCTGCAGGCACCCTGCTCAGGACCTAGGCAGGAACATACTCCTGGGTGGCCTGCCTGCCTGGCATGGATGTGGCTCTGTGTGTGTGTGTGTTTCTTTGTTTAACAAGGGACTGGTGAGTTGGCTCAGCAGGTAAAGGCACTTGCTACCAAGCCTGATGACCTGAGCTTCATCCCTGGCATTCACATGGAGGAAGGAGAGAACCACCTCCTCAAAGTTGTCCTCCGATTTACACACACATAAACAAAATGAATAAATTTAATTTAAAAAAAAAAAAAGACAAAACAAGGAGCCAGAGAACAGGCTCAGTAGTTAAGAGCACTCACTGGCTGCTTTTCCAAAGAACCTGGGTTCAATTCCCAGTATCCACATAGCAGAACACAGCTTTCTGTAACTCAGATCCAAAGGGATTCAAACAGTTTTTTGTTGTTTTGTTTCTGTTTGTTGTCTTCCACAGGGACTAGAAAGTGCCCAGACATACATGCAGGGAAATCACCCATACACATAAAACACATTTCAGAAAGGCAAACTGGATTGCCTCTGACCTTTTGGTCAGGAAGTTGTGACAGACAACAGACTGGTCCAATCAGAAGCTGCTTCCTACAAGAAGACCCACTGCACCCCACCCCCACTCTAGACAGCATTGTGGAGTAAGACAAATTCCTCTGCCCTCCTCTCTCACTTGTCTCTGCTCGCCTCCTGGATTTTCTTTTTCTTTTCTGGTTTTGTGGATGAATCCAGGGCCTCACACATGCTTAGCAGAAGTTCTACCACTGAGCCACACTCCCAGCCCCTCATTGGGGGGCTCTACTACTGAGACACCCTCCCCCAGCTCCTCTGTGTGTGCCCCATCCACCTTCTGGGCCTCTTCCCACAGCATTTCCTCAGGCTGGAAGGTTCTTCCTCAATCTCCACAGGCAGGGCTCAGCTTTTATGTCACCTTTTCTGGGAAGTCCTCTGAGGTCACTGCAGTTCACAGTAGCCTTCTCCACTACCCTGCACCCCTCTTGCACTTTCCTAAGGCCAGCACTTCTGTTCATTTCCTCTCTCCCCTCATTTTATTTTCTGGGTATGGGTGATTTGCCTCATGTATGTCTGGGCACTGTGTGCATGCCTGTGGAGGCCAGAAGAGGGCATCAAATCCCTTTGGACCTGAGATGCTCTGACTGAGTGGTGAGCTGGCGTATAGGTAGGTGCTGGGAATCACATCCAGGTCCTCTGGAAGAGCAGCCAGTGCTCTGAACCACTGAGTCACCTCTCCAGCCCAGCCTCTGTTCATTTCTATGCAGTAATATTGCCTTGTCCCTAGCAAGCACAGCGGAGTCTGCTGCTCGACGTTGCTGGCCGAGCATCACTGTGCTGTTGTATAATAAGCTCCGCCATGAGATGATTTCAACAATGACACATGTGCCAGGTACCCAGACTCCTACACGGCGGTGTGTGCTGGTGGTTGCCAGTGTCCTGATACAAACATCAAGGCTCAGGGCCTGGAGGTGTAGCTCCGCAGAGGTCAGAATGGTTTGATCCCCAGCAAACACACATGTGCACACGCGGGCACATGCAGGCACGCACTCAGACGCTATGGAGTAAGTGATCTGATCCCAAGAACGCACAGCCAGCTCCAGCTGTCCTTCTTCATTACAGGCTCCTTGGCCATCCCTGCACCGTCCATCTTCCTGGTGCCCCCCTACCCAAGCAGCCAAGAGGACCCCATCTACATCTCATGTACAGCCCCGGAGGACTTCCTCGGGGCCAACTTCACGCTGTTCCGAGGGGAAGAGGTGGTCCAGCTTCTGCAGGCCCCCTCGCACCAGCCTGGTGTGACCTTCAATGTGACTGCTGGTGGCAGTGGCGAGGGGGGCAAGGCTCCTGGGGGGAACTTCCACTGTCAGTACAGTGTGATTGGTGAGCACAGCCAGCCCCAGCTCTCAGACCTCAGCCAGCCTGTGCAAGTCTCCTTCCCAGGTAAGACCGCCCCGAGGAATCCTGGTCGTGCTGCCCTCGCCCTCCCTGGGATGCTCTGCAGCAAGCCCAAGTCTACAGATGAGTGGACTGATATGAGGGAACAGAAGCAGCCGCCCGATAAACCCAGGACTTACGGGGGTGGGGACTGGTGTGCCAAGCCCCTGAGGCTGCACTTGCCTTTGTGTTTCCTGGGCGAGCCCAGGGGCCACAGAAGATCCAGGTGGATCTTGGGAGGAGGAGACCGAAGGACTAGAAGTGCGAGGTCATCCCTGAGGGTAGGCAGAGGCCTCCTGGATCTAGTGAGAGAACCTACTGCACACTATGTCTGTAGGTCGGCAGACAGCAGCCGCCTGCTCAGCTGTTGACAGCTCCCTTTTCTCATCAGGGCCTTTCGGTTTTTCAGCCCACAGAGGTGAATGACAGGACCTTGTGAGAATACCACAGTCATTGTTCGCCTCTCAGCTCGGATCAGGACCCTGCCCCAGGTCCCCAGAGGCCTCCCCTCCCCCCCAATCCTGGATGGGGAATTGAAATCCTTTGCAGACAAGAACTTATAAAACACCCATTCTTTCCTTTTTGAAAAAATTTAAGAGAGACTTATGTGGCCCAGGCTGACCCCAGCTCCCTGCGGGGCTGTCGTCGACCTCAAGCTTCAGATCCTCCTGCTCTGGGATGACATGTCCCATGCTGCGGGAGGACTCCCATCCAAAGGGAGGACTTCTTCGCATGTCTTTTTTTTTTTTTTTAAGATTTATTTATTTATTATGTATACAATGCTCTATCAGCATGTACACCTGCATGCCAGAAGATGGCATCAGATCGCATTATAGACGGTTGTGAGCCACCATGTGGTTGCTGGGAATTGAACTCAGGACCTTTGGAAAAGAAGCCAGTGCTCTTAACTTCTGAACCATCTTTCCAGCCCAGAAGGGATGACTTCTAGGCAGCCTTCAGGGCCCACTGGATGGCCAATGTGGATGTCATTGGCTTTTTTTTTTTTCCAAGATAGTTTCTTTGTGTAGCCCTGGCTGTCCTAGAACTCGCTTTGTAGACCAGGCTGGTCTTGAACTCAGAGATCTGCCAGCCTCTGGCTCCTGAGTGCTGGGATTAAAGGTGTGTGCTGCTGGCTGTCACTGACTCTTCAGTACCTACACTGGAGCCACAAGATAACTACTGGTTAATGGGGTTTAAAAAACAAAAAAAAACAACAACAACAAAACCATTCAGTATGGCTCAGCACCTGGATACAAGGCTAAGGCAGGAGGATTCTGACAATCTGAGGCCAGCCTGGGCTACATAGGGAGTGTGAGGCTAGCATGACCTACCTAATGCCTACCTAACAAGCCAGCCATGATGAGCTGTTTAGAGCAAGACTTGGTTTCAAAAACACAACCTGGAGGGTCTGGAGAGATGCTGAGCAGTCGGGAGCGCGGACTCTTTCAGAGGTCCTGGCTTCTGTTCCCAGGACCTCCATGGCAGCTCACAGCCACCTGGACCTCCAATCCCAGGGGAGTCCTTGCCCTCTTCTGGCTGTCACAAGCATGCAAGCGGTGTACAGACAGTCACACGGGCAAGACGCCCAGACAAATAAACTAAGTAAGTGATCAATTAATTACCAAACAAACAAACAAACAAAAACATGGTGCGAGGCTTGGTGGTGCACCCCTTTAATCCCAGTGCTCAGGGAGGCTGAGGCGGGTGGATCACTGAGTTTGAGGTCAGCCTGATCTACAAGGAGTCCAGGACAGTGAAGGACACACAGAGAAACCCTGTCTTGAAAAACCACACACAAAAAAGTTTTCTTTCTTTCTTTCTTTCTTTCTTTCTTTCTTTCTTTCTTTCTTTCTTTCTTTCCTTCTTTCTTTCTTTCTTTCTTTTTGAGACAGGGTCTCATATTGTAGCCTAGGCTTACCTCAAACTCAGTGTGATCCTCCTGCCTCAGACTCCTAAGAGCCATGATTACACAGAGCTTTTTTTTTTTTTTTTTTTTATGTTTCCATGGAGTCTGGAGAGATAGCCCAGCATTTCAGAGCACTGCTATTCTTCCAAAGGACCTAAGTTTGGTTCCAAGCACCAACATCAGGCAGTTTACAATGGCATATAACCCTCCTCCCCAGTGTGAGGGAAATGGACAACCTCTTCTAGGCTCAGCAGGCCCTGGAATGCACTGTTTAAGCCTCTCCTCAGCCCCTATGCATATCAATAAAAGTATAAATAATGTTTTCACTAGCATGTATTAATTATACACAACAATGGGTTCTAGTCTGACATTGTCACAATCTACGTATGTATTTTGCTCATATGCACCCTGACATTCTCTCTTGTGCCCTCCCACTCCCACTTATTCATCTTTCCAACTAGTCCCTCTGCTGCTTCTACTTTCATGTCTTTCTTTCTTTAGGCAATGTCTTGCTTTGCAGCCTTGGCATTAGACTCATAGAAATTCTCCTGCCTCAGCTTCCTATATGTTGGGATTATGACTGTAATACTTTAGCTACTATATCCAACTTCAATCTTTCTTAGTATATACTAAAGGATATATATATCTCTCTGTGTAGCCTTGGCTGTCGGGACTCTCTTTGTAGATCAGGCTGGCCTTGAACTCACAGCAATCTGTCTGCCTCTGCCTCCCTGAGTACTGGGATTGAAGGCATGCACAACCATGCCTGGAGATATATATATAATTTGTCAGCCCATCAAGATGGGCAAGGGCACTTGCCATTAGGCCTAATGACCTGAGTCCATCTCTGGCCCCATAATGAAAGAAGAGAACCAATGCCCACAAGTTACCCTCTGACTTCCATGCACATACTGTGGTGCTTGTGTGTGTGTGTGTAAGAGAGAGACACTAAATAAATGCAATAATTTTAAATGACTATTCTTTTCTTATGGTGCTAGGCAAGGAACCTAGAATCTGCTTTACATTAGTCAAGTTTTCTTAAGCTATAGCTCCTTTCTCGCTTGGTGTGTGTGTGTGTGTGTGTGTGTGTAGGTCATTCTGTATTGTAAGCTGGCTTCGAATTCTCTAGCTCATGATAGCCTTGAACTCACATTCATCCTCAACTTTCCAAATGCTTGGTAATCCAGTCTTGGGATGGGCTACCTCCTCAGAAGGAAGAACTCCTCATTGGTTGCTAACTGCCCATGAGGCAGACTTGTTAAAGTCCCAGGCCCACCTCCACCGAGACGCTTGGCTGAGGTGGCTCCTGGGTGAGGGAGGGCATCCAGGAAGGCCCCCAGGGGTCCCTTCCATGCCCTCACAGCTCCTTCACCTGCCCCATTCTCTCCCTTCTAGTCCCCACCTGGATCTTGGCGCTCTCTCTGAGCCTGGCTGGAGCTGTCATCCTCCTCGCAGGGCTGGTGGCTGTCGCTGTGGTGGTCAGGAAAGGTAATGGGCATGGGGCAGCCACGGGCAGCTGGCAGCTCTGAACCGCTCTCACTCTTCCTCTTGCAGTTTTTGAGGCAGGGTCTCACTCTGTAGCCCTGGCCGCCCTGATCCCACTGTGTGCTTCAGGCTGGTCTGGAAATGACAGGGATCTGCTGTCTCTGTTTCTACTCTTAGAGTGCCAGCAAGCCCAGCGCCTTCCCTCTTGCTTTCTTCCCCACGCTCTTTTCTCCACTTTCCCCATCCTGTTGTTGAGGCTGTTGAACTCCTTGATTTTTCTTTATTTGGGGTGTCTGTGTGAGGCGAGAACCTGAAACCTTCTGCCTCAGCCTCCCAAGCGCTGCATCGATATGGAAAACACCACGACTGCTTTATTTAAATTTTTCCTTTTTTATTTTATGTGTAGGGGTGTTTTTGCATGTATACACACCACATGCACGCAGGGCCTGCAAAGGCCAGAACAGGGCATCGAATGCCCTGGAAGTGGTGTTACAGAGGGTTGTGAGCTGCCACATATGTGCGGGATGAGGGATGGGGTGTGAGGTGTGGGGGTGTCTGCAGCCATCAGGACCACTAGAGTAATGCTCTTCAGGAGGCAAGAAGACAGCTCAGTTCCACATGACCAAGTAGCTGGTGCTGGTTAAGCTTCGGGAGTCTGACCCTGAGGAGCTGGCTTATGTATACTAAGCACAACATGTCAGGCAAGGTGGCGCTCAGGAGGTCATCCCAGCACTCAGGAGGCAGAGGCAGGCAGATCTGTGAGTTCTAGGCCAGCCTGGTCTACAAAGGGAGTCCAGAAGAGCCAAGGCTACAGAAACCCTGTCTCGAAAAACAAAAACAAACAAACAAAAACAAACCACAACACAATTTGGTGACATTTTCCTGGGGATAATTACCTCAGTCCCATGCACACAATACATCTTACAACATGACTTCAAAACTCTTTGTAAAGTACATGTGACATCTTCCATTAAGATGGATTCTACAGATTGACCACATGTGACACCTTCCGAAAGGAGAGGTTCTATAGACTGAAGGAGAAAAGCAAGCTCATGCACGATAAGGATCTTGCAGTAGGCCCGGTGTGGGCTGCCCCAGCCTCTGGGCTGATGACAGATTATGCATGCTCCTTGATGATAAGGATCTTGCAGTAGGCCCGGGGTGGTATGCCCCTGCTTTCTGGTTATGCGTGCTTCCTTGGAAGGAGCAACCGGTGTGTTTAACTCTGCAGTTTCCCTTGTGCTTATCTGTGAGCACGAGGACCTGTGTGCCCCTACACATGAGTGCTGGGTATTGACTGAACCGGGGCTCTGGAAACAGCCAGTACTCTTAGCTATCTCTCTACCTCACCAGGACTGATTTTGTCATCCATGTCTTCAGGGGCATAGAGACAGCCAGTTTGGGGAATTCTTCCCCCTGAACTGTGCAGCGGGTGGGTGGGTACGGGACCAGCAGAAGTGGGATGATGGGTGGAGGAAAGGGAGACTAACATATGGGATCCCTGGGTACTCAAGGGGGACTAGCCTGTTTTGAGACCACCTCCTGAGGCAGCAAGATCTACAGAGGTTCATCTCTCGGTAAAAGACACAGGGTGCATGCCTGTCACCCCAGCACTCACTAGATGACGTCAGAGGACCAAGAGTTCGATGTCAGCCTCACTGCGTAGCAAGTTCCAGGCTAGCCTGGGCTATGTGAGATGCTGTCCAAGAAACAGAAGTCTATCCATTCCCACTTTTGTTAGACCATCCTTTATCTGTTTCCAAATTTTCATTCACTAAACCAGTGCTTCTAAACCTTCCTAATGCTGCAACCCAACCCTTTAAGACAGTTAATGCTGTGGTAATCTCCAGCCATAAAACTATCTCACCGTTACTTCAGAAATAGAATTTGGTTACTGTTATGAATTATAACGTGAATAGTTTTGGAGACAGGGGCTGAGAACCACTGATCTAAACTCTACCTTAGACAGTGGCTTTCTGCTCACTCCAGCCTTACTCCCAGCAACAATGGAAACTCCTTTCAAAAATTTACTTATTATTATTGGGGGAGGCTTTGTGGAGGTTGCAGGAGTCAGTTCTTTTTCCACCACGTGGGTCTCCAGGGTCCAGCTCAGGTCGTCAGGCTTGGCAGCAGGGGTCTCTATCTAAAGAGCCATCTCACTGACTAACCCCCTCCACCCCCAATTTTGACAGGTCTCATATAGCCCAGTCTGGCCTCAAACTTGCTCTATAGCTGAGGATGGTATTTAACTCATGATCCTCCCACCTCCACCTCCCTAATCCTGGGACCACAGGCTTGTGTTGGAAGTTGCCTATCAGGAAACTCTAGTTTTTAAGAAAACAATTTTACATGTTTACACATTTGTGAAGATACTGTTTGGATTTAGCTTTATAGAGACAGGATTTCACTACGCAGTCCAGGCTGGTCTGGAAACCCAGGGCCCATATAGATCAGGTTGGCCTTGAAGTGTAGATAATCCTTGCGCTTCTATTTCAGTTTGCTCGGATAACAGCAGTGAGCCACCACACTTGGTGTTTCAAGCTTTTTTTTAAATTTTTTTACGTGAACATACATTTCTCACAAGTCAAGCATGAACACAAGGACCAGCAAGATCACTCAGTAGACAAAGATGCTAGCTACCAAGCATGACCGCTTAGGTTCCATCTCTGGGACTCCTAAGGCAGGACAGCCGACTCCACAGCATTTCCACTAGCCTCTACGTAAGGCATGTGCACCCACACAAGAACATGTATATACAAAGTAAATAAATATTCCAAAAGACCCCAACACATAAGCAGTCATACATACCTGTAACTCCAGAACCCAAAAGGCTGACAATGGACTGTGGGTTAGAGACCAACCGGGGCTGTGCACCACCTCAAGAAAACAGATGATGCATATCCAGAATTCTAGCCTTTGGGGAACAGAAGTAGGAGGACTGGGAGTTCAAAGCCAGCCTTGGCTACATAGTGAGTTCAGGCCAGCCTGAGCTACACAGGTCTGTTTCAAAAAACTAAGAGAAGGTGGGTATGTTGGCACACGCCTTTAATCCTTGTACTCAGCAGGCAGATCTCTACCTATAGTCTAGTCTACACAGTGAGTTCCAGAACGGCCAGGCCATGCTGTGAAACCCTGCCTAACAGAACAGAACAGAACAGAAAGAACTGAGAAAGATCTGTTTATAGCAGCTTTTGTACTTAGTGGAAGATCTACATGGATGAGGCAAGGCTGGTCCCACAGGAGTCAAGGGAGCTTTTGATTTCATGGTTATTTTGATTTCATGGTTATCAACACTTTCCAGCTGCTATCGGATTCAGAATAATCTAACTAATGCCTGTTCATCTTTCTTCCAGTTAAAGCCAGAAACTTACAGAAGCAGAGGTGAGACCTTCCCAGGTGATCTTTTGAGCACTTTACTAACTGGGCGAATGCTTCATTCCCCACAATGTCCTCTGGTGGGAGGGCTGATAAATGCATAATAAATAATTCATGTTTATTGAGCACTGCTGTGTACTAGGATTCTTTAAAACCTATGAGCATGGCTTCCACCCAGTAGACCTGATGATACCCATTTTTCCAGATGTGAATACTGAGGCCAGAAGCTCAGTCACATGGGCCAGGAAGCCCAGCTGCCTTACCTCCAGCTCACTGCTGGCTTCCACAACATTGTCCAGAAATCTAGGTATCTGCAGTGACATTTTTCAGGACTCTCACTGGGAGTACGCAGTATTAGACTTTCCCTGGAGTGTTCCCGGCCCCTTACAGCCGGAGTGGCTACCCAGTGGGATGGCTCTGGGAAGGAGGGTAATTACCCTCAGTGTGCAGTATTTGCTGTGGGAAGGGAGTGTGCAAGGGGGGAAGGCAAGCCCTATCAGGTCTCACTGTGGGAGACGCTCTAGAACAAGTGGCCTGTGTCATCCTTTCTTCTGATCCCTTTGCAGGGAACGTGAATCCTGCTGGGCTCAGATCAACTTCACCAACACAGGTCCGTTTCGTCATCCATGCCCCTTGATGCTTCCCTGGGTGAAGTAACCTTTACAATTTCCTTCTGTTTGGAGCCTTTCTGTGGCCTCTTGTTGCTCTTGAGGGCCAAACACTGTCCCTGTTCTTTCTGGTGGGTTGTTTTCGTCTCTAGCCTTCACCCTGGCTCTATCCACCGCCTGGAACACTCTCTCCAGCTTCAATGTGTATGTCACCCTCTCCAGGAAGCCCTCCCTGCTTCTCCAGCAGGCTCTATCTTTACTTCCACACCAGCCATGCTCTCAGCATTCGTGTGTACCTGTTTACCTGTGTATGATGTGTGTGCAGTGTAGGAGCTAGCATGCCATAGTGCGTGTGTGGTCAGAGGACAACTTGCAGGTGTCAATTCTCTCCTTCTACCAAGTGGGTCCTGGGGATTGACGTCAAGGTGACAATTTTGGCTGCTAAGTGCCTTTCCCTGCTGAGGCACCTCGCTGGCCCCAGCCTGTTCTCTACAGGGAGATCTGTGCCCCTCCCTCTAAGTGTTCACATCTCACCCTGTAGAGAGATCGGCAAGGGTCTGAAGAAGATGCTGGAACCCCAACTCCTTTTGTAGAGTTAATTCTGGGCATTGAGATTGTGGGCAAGGACCAGGTGGTAGAACAGTGGACCCACCCTGAGCTGAGTTTGGTCTCTCTCTGTTTCAGACATGTCCTTCGATAACTCTCTATTTGCCATCTCCACGGTGAGTAGCTCTTTTTGTCGAGTTTCCCAATGACCAACCCACTGAGAGGGGACAGGGAGCTGTGTCACTTGGAAGTCCTGAGGCCTGAGGACCAGTAATTGCCCAGAGTCATAGAACTAGGACTTGTCTATAAGCCTGGGGTTGACTATGAAAAACTAGGGGATCACAGGGCTCTATTTTCACTGGGATGAGTTCAATCCTTGAGGCTGGTGAGAGAAGGTTTGGGCTGACATGGTGGCCTCTTTGGGAGTCTCTGTGGAACCTTGTGACACTCTGATAATGCTCTGGTCTCCTCCTTATTGTTAAGTCAGTGTAGTGCTCACACTTGTATAATCCCAGGACTTGGGGGATGGCAAGCAGAAGGGTTGGAGGACTAGCCTGGGCTACATAGTGAGTTACAGGTCAACCTGGGCTACCGAGTCCCTCCCCCGCTCATTTTATTTAGTTTGTGTATGTGTGTGGGGATGCCACAGCAGACTTATGGATTTGGTTCTCTCCTTCCCTGTGAGCTCCAGGAATCAAACTGGGGTTATTACGTTTGGCAGCATGTGACTGGAGCTGCTGAACCATCTTACCAGTCTGAGTCTCCGCCTTAAAAAACAGGTGTGCGTGGTGGCACACCTGTAATCCCAGAACTCAGGGAGGCAGAGGCAGAAGTAGGTGGATCTCTGTGAGTTCAAGGCCAGCAAAGCAAATCCAGCACAGCCAAAGCTACACAGAGAAAGCCTGTCTTGAAACAAACAAACAAACAAACAAACAAAAACCAAAACAATGAGGAGGGCACTTGGGAGGCAGAGACAAGTGGATTCCTGAGTTTGAGGCCAGCCCTGGACTCCAGGTGAGTTCCAGGACACCCACAGCTACACAGAGAAACCCTGTTTCAAAAAGCCAACAAACCATAACACAGAAGCTGGAGGTACAGCTGCAGCAGGTGAGAGCCGAGTGTGTTTGAAGCACTGAATTCCATGTTTGGCACCACACTAAAAAACAAAGGGAAGGAAGGGAGGGAGCTGGCCCATACAAGAGAGGCTTGTATGGTTACCTCTGTAGTAGTGTCAGCTCTTGAACAGATCCTGAACTGTCCAGATAAACCCCGCTGGGCATGGTGGCCAATGCATGTGATCTCAACACTTGGGAGCCTGAGGCATGAGGACGGTTGCAGGTTTGTCTTGCCTGGGCCAGCCAGGAACTGGCCAGCCCCTGTGGCTTTTTCAATTGCTGTGTTGTTTGGTTTGGATATTGTTATGTCCAGACAGGCTGGTTACAAACCCACTGTGTTGCTGAGGGTGCCCTGCATATGTGATCATCTTGCGGCCTCCTCCCAGGTGCTGGGATTACAGGTGTGCACCATCATATCTGGTTCATGTGGTGCTGGGGATAGGCCCCAGGCTTCCTACATGCTCGGCAAATACTCTGCCAAGTGACATTTGCCATATGTTTCATTTGCTTTTGTTGAGACAGGGTGTCAAAATGTAGTCCTTCCTCCCACTACGCCAGGGTTATAGAAAACACTGCTTTGTGCGCGAGTGCGCTCACACACACACACCTCTACACTGGGCTGGGAATGTAGCAAAAGTATCAAGTCCTATTTCCTGCCTTTCTTGATTTGCCTATTCTTATATGAACAATAATGAAAGATCCCCGGAGGGTATCTTCCGTCAGAGAGACCCCCTCCCAAAGAACAACGAGTCCATTCGGATGCAAACAGCAAGAGGCTTTTATTTTGATACACGAGTACTCGGGGCAGCAAGGTCACTCGGGAGGACCTTGTGCGCCTCCTTGGGGAAAAACTGGGGTTTTTATAGGGTTTTAGAGCAGAAGCACTGGTACAGAAGCGACAGGCATGGTTACAGGGGGCTGATTGGTACGTTTACACGAGACCACAATTTGCGTCAAAGTTTGGCAGGGGCACCAAGATTCCAGGAACTGGGTGGTCAAGGGGGGTAGGATGACCCCTTGACGTGGCCCGCCACCTGTTATTTTGTTTTTCCCTATCTTAGCTGAAACAGTCTCACAGATATCTATGAGAGTGATTAACACAAACTGTTTTTAGTATGACTGGGGCAGCCTGACCACAGATATCCCAAGTGGGTGACACAGCTAGGATTTCTCAGTAATTTTCCAGTTTCTCATCTGGCCTTCAGAGTTTTACAAAACAGTGGTGTCCCACAAAATGGCATTAGCTATGTTTAACTTAGGGTGAGGCTGGGGTCTTTCAATACAATATCTCCTTTTGTGGCTGTCTCGTTCTACCTCATATAGTAGCCTTAGGTTCATCCCACGATGTTAACTTGTCTCTGAATTTTCTTCATTTTCAAGGCTGAATACTATTCCAGAGTAGGATATACTACATTTTGCTGATTCATGTCCATTGATGGACACTTGGAATGCTCTCACTTTTTGGCTTTCTGTGAACCTGCTGTGCAAGAATCTCAGTTCTTGCTTTTGGTTTTAGTTTTTTCCTTTTCCCTCCCCTCTCCTCTCCTCCCCACCCTTTCCTTTCCTCCTCCTTCTCTTCCCTTTCCTCTTTCCTTTCTTCTTTCTCCAAACGGTCTCATTATGTATTCCTGGCTGGTGTGGAACTCTATGTCTAGTTCCAGGGAATCCCTAGCTGTACCCATAAGCTGCACTTAAACATATTTGGGAAAATTCTCACACTCAAACCATAATAATAAATAAAACCTTCTGAAAAAAAAAGAGAAAAGAAAGCTTCCTTGTTGGCAGAAATGACTACGAAGTAGCTGCCAGGTGCCTTGTCACTGCCCCCTCTCTCAGGGCCTGACATAGAACTATTAGAAAGCCCTATGGGGAGGAAGTTCACTCCTTTGCTTTATTGGGTTTTCTTTTTTTATGTTCATTGATGTTTTGCTTGCAAGTTTGTGTGAGGGTGTCAGAAGCCATAGAACTGGGGTTACAGACAATTGTGAGCTGCTTTGTGGGTGCTGAGCATTGAACCCCAGTCCTCTGGAAGAGCAGCCAGTGCTCTCAACTGCTGAGCCATCTCTCCAGCCTCTATTTCACTGTGTTTGTTTGTTTGTTTGTTTTGAGACAAGATCTATGTAATTCTGGCACCCTGGAACTAAAAGATTTTCCCACCTCTATATTCCAAGTGCTGGGATTAAAGGTGTGGCTCTTACACCTGGCTTCTTCTTTTTTTTCCCCCTCTTTTGGTTTTTCTTTTTAAAAGATTTATTAATTATTTATACAGTATTCAGCCTTACACAGTGTTCTGCCTGCATGTGTGCCTGCACGCCAGAAGAGAGCACCAGATCACATTATAGAGGGTTGTGAACTACCATGTGGTTGCTCAAATTGAACTCAGGACCTTTGGAAGGGCAGCCAGTGCTCTTAACCTCTGAGCCATCTCCCCAGCCCTTGGTTTTTGCTTTTCAAGACAGGGTTTCTCAAGGCTGTAGAGACAGTTCAGTGGTTAAGAGCAGTGGCTGCTCTTCTAAAGACCTGAATTCAATTCCCAGCACCCACATGGTGGCTTACAACCATCTATAAAGGTAGTCCCACGGGAACCATTACCATCTTCTGGTATGCAAATGTACATGTAGGCAAGCCACCTGTATACATAAATAAATCTTCAAGAAAAAAAAAAAAAAAAAAAAGACAGGTACTCACTGGGTAGCCCTGGCTGGCCTGGAATGCACTATGTAGATCAGACTGGCTTCTAATTCAGAGACCTGCCTGCCTCTTCCTCCCAAGTGCTGAGGATAGAGGCATGCCCTGCTGTGCTCACTTTACAAAGATCCTGTGGTTAGACAAGGATTTCTCTGGGGTCACTGCTTAGAGGACCAAAGCTCTGAGGGGACCGCATACTGTCTCAGCCAACTGCCTCCAGGTTTTGAAAGGTTTTAGGGGATCTCTGATAGGGGTGGGTACAAAGGTGAGCTGGCTTGTCGGGTACCATCCACTTCATGCCTCTCTTTTTCAAGCCCCACGGTGTCCCTAGGAGATGGATATGATCACTTGAAACTGAGGCATAGGAGGGTCATCACTCAAGGGACATCAGGTTGCTAGGAAGTGATGCAAGTGGGATTTGAGCCCTGGCCTCTGGTCCTCCTTCCTCTGCAGAGAGGAGGCAGCAGGACAGAGCCACTGAAGGTTGGAATATGGGTAGCTGGAGGGAAAGGTGAGAAGATACTTGAGAACTTGGAGCAGGGGGAACTCCCAGATCCTTCCACCCCAAATCACTGTTCCTGTTTGTTTTTGTTTTCTTCCATAGATAAAGAAAATGACTCAGGAAGACTTGGTGGCAACCTTGGATGCACATCCTTGCAACTCAGGACCTCGAAAGAGGCCCACCTCTGCATCATCCTCTCCGGAGCCCCCGGAGTTCAGCACTTTCCGGGCCTGCCAGTGAGGCTGAGGAGTGAGGACCTCTTTATCCAGTTCTCTCCCTTCCGCTGCCCATGGCTGCAGAAGCTGGACATCTGTCCAGAGACCTGGCAGTAGGGCGAGGTCAAGCCCGGGCATTCGTAGGGATGAACTGGCCAGAGGAAGGAGACCTCTGGTGTTGTGACCTTCCTCACAGAAGACAGGAAAACCAGTCACCTCTGTAGACTCCCAGAATGGTCAGCTCACCAGGGAAGCGATACCACTGCATCTGGACACCAGCTGGACATAAGAGGTCTAACTTCTGTACCGCCTTTCCTGTGCTTCCAGCTGCACCCCACTTCCAGACTGGGTGTTTTCTTGGGGGTGTGTGTGTATGTTTTTAGCTGTTGTTTCTAGACAGGGTCTCACTATGTAGTGCTGGCTGTCCTGGAACTCACTATGTAGACAAGGCTGGCTTTAAACTCATAGGGACCCACTTGCCTCTCCCTCCAGAGTGCTGGGATTAAAGGCTCGTGTCACCATTGCCTTGCAGGGCATATGTTTTTTAATGACAGAGTTTTACTTTATAGTTCAGACTGGCTTTGAAATCACATCCTCCTGTTTCTGCCTGAGATTATGGGCTTGCACCATTAGATGGGTGGGTGGGTGTCAATTTGGAAAAGGGCTGGGTGTGTTTTGAGTCCTGCCGATGTCACAGCTCCTGTTAAACCTGGGACTGCATGGCTAGGGAGTGGGGTGAGAGGTGAATTGGACTCGTTGAAGGTACTACACCACTGAACTTCAGCCAATGTGATGAATGAAAAATGTTTGGAGGTGCAGGAAGAGATTGATGCACTATGGAGACCAGAAATGTGGGAACAGAAGGGCCTTAAGGAGTAAATTAGAGGCCCAGGAGAGGATAAATAGCAGCCTCAGAGGGTCCAGCAAAAGTGAAGAGCGGTTGGCACTGCTGAACACAGTGGCTAGCCACTACTGGGAGGTTCGAGAGTTAACTGTAGAAAAGGAGAGGTCCTGGCGGAGAAGCTGAAGAATTCCCCCAGACACTCAGCGTTTAATGGAGCTGCCAAAGCGTGGAGGGCGGCTTACAGTGCCTTTATGCTAGTGTGGGGCGGGACCACACCTAGGGGCGTGCCTGCAAGCCTGTCCACGCCCACCGCAGGGCCTTTCCCTCGCAGCGGGAGGAGAGCAAGGCGGAACTTACCTGGAAACGTAGGGGGCGGAACCCTAACGTGGGGCGTGAGCGAACTACCTGGGTTTGCAAGCGGTCCTCCTCCTCCCCCAGGCCCGGGAGGGGCCGTCTGCAGGACTCTGGCCAGAAGGGGCCCGACCCTCTGAGGGCGGGTCCACGAAGCCGACTCAGAGCGCCTGCATTTTGCCACTAACCGGCCCCTCTGGGGGCGGAGCCAGCGCGCCTCCGGGGGTGTTCAGTGGCCGAGCGCCCCACCCCGACGAACGCCTCACCCCGAGCACGGTCGTTCGCAGCAAGGCGGCCTAGGGGCGCAGCCAGCCCTCGAGGGGGCGACTCTTCCTAGTCCCCGAGTCACCCCTACTGTGGCACAAAGCACGGCGGCCTCGTGGCGCCGGCCTGGGGGCGGGGCCTGGCTCCCAGAGGCGTGTCCGAGCGGCCGCGCGCGACCCCCTGACGCACACGGCGGTGTCAGGCGCTGTTGTTCCAGAGACCCCGGCCCGGGGGCGGGGCGGGGGTGGGGACGCCTGATCCGCCCGGGGGCGTGCCCGAGCGGCTAAGCACCGCCCTCCGACGCACGCCCTGCCCGTGTCCCCGCGCCTGCTGCGTCGGGGCACAAAGCGCGGCTGTCGCGCAGCGCGGCCTCGGGGCGGAGCCTCGCAGCCTTGGGGGCGTGCCGCGGCGCCAGGCACCGCCCCCGGACGTCGGCTCCCTCTCCCGGCGTGCCAGGGCGGCCGTAGCCACCTCACAAAGCAGCGACCGTTCCCGCGGGGTGGGGCCGGCCCCACCCCCGTTGTGCTCGCGCTCGCCGGGCTCCGACAGGCGCCAGCAGGGGGCGCTGCGCCACCGAGCCGGCCGGTGGCGGCGGCGGCGAGGCGGCGCGTGGCCGGCAGGCGGCG